GCCAGATTGTGGGCACAGACCTACTGGATGGTGTCCTGTGGATCATCAGACAAGGAGTCAAACTTCTTGCCCTGGTCACCATCTGTTTGTCCATGCCATCCAGAAGCTTCAGAGCAACTCCAACGGGCCGACCCAAACGGACGGCGCATTTGTCTGCTTTTTGTCCGTTTGGGTCGGCCGCCCGCCCGGCGTCCGCCCAGTTTTGCATTTGGGTCGGCAGTGCGCCCAACGCGCCGACCCATTTCATGTCCGCATTCAACTTTTGAATAAAAAAGGCCCGCGGCCGATCATGCCAGCGGCCATGTCTCATGCCGGCACCATGCCAGCGGCAGCATACAATGCCGGCTTCAGAAAATACCACAGTTCATGCTGGCGCACTCGCCAGCACACAAAAAAGGGTGGGACTTGAGTTCGACCACGCCATCGCGGCTCCCGTGGTCATGCCAGCACACCTGCCGGCATACAAAAAAGATGGCCCTCGCCGCCATAGATCACTCGTCGTCGAACTTGAGCATGTCGGCCTGCATCTTCTTGAACCACGGCCTCTTCCTTGGCGATACGGTGTTGAGATCCACCTTCATGATCTCCATCCCGGTCATCATGCTCACAAGAGCCACTTCTTTCGCCTTTGTCTTGGCGTTGGCGGCCTCGATCTCTAGCATCTTGGCTTGCTTCTCCGCCTCGAGCTCGAACATCTTGGCTTGCTTCTCGGCGTCAAGATCAAGCCTCCTCCTTTGGATCTCCATGAAAGCATCCATTTGCTCCGCCTTGAAACGCCGGCGCTCCTCCTCCCTCGAGTCCTTATTCATCATGCCGTCCACGCTTGCGATCAAGGCATTGGTGGCCGCATCTCGCCTGTCCTACTTTTTGGAGTTGGTCTTCCCCCTCGGCCGTGCCGGCTCGCCCTCCCCAACATCCTCCACGGCTTTCTTCCCCCCACATGCCTTGAGGGCGGCATATTGTGCCTTGAAATTCTCTTCGTCCTTTATGACCCGATAGCAATGGGAGAGGTTGAAGCACTTGCCATTGTGTTGAACCTTGAATGCCTCCAAAGCTTGAAATGCCTACAAAATGTTTCCATGCAAGCATATGGGCAAGTAATAGCAAATGAAGACGTAAAAGGAAGGATGATCTTGATGACACAAAAGAGGGCGGCTTGCTTGCTATCATACCATGTCTTGCATGCCGATGCCGCTCACGGGGCGGGCCTTGACGCCCTCAGGGGTGGCGCAAAACTTGTTGCACTCTTGTTGGATCACCCTCCACCGCTTGGAAATGGAGACCCACCCGCGCGTGCTCACAAATTGGTAAGGTGGAAACTTCTTGCGCTCATGAAACTCGCGGTGCACACGAGTCCAAAAGGTCAAATGCTTTTGCTCGACGCCCGTCTTTGGGTCTTGTCAAATGTCTCGCCAACACTCACAAAGAAGCTTGTCCTCGGCAGCTGTGTACGCCTTCGTGCGCTTGCTCTTGCGCTTCGGCTTAGGACCGGCGGCTTGGTTGGCGAGCTCGTCCTCGAACAAAGGCTCCACTTCGATGTCGCACTCGTCCTCTTCCTCTAGCCCATAGTCCTCCGGGAACTCGTGGTCGAGGGGGAAGCCGTCCAGGTCGATGCCGACCTGATCACGCATGAAGGCCGCCTGATCGGGATCATAGCCAGCGGCCGGCGTGAACGCCCCGCGGCCGTCCTGGCTTTGTGTCTCTTCGGGATCGTAGCCAGCGCCCAGCGCACCACCCTCGAAGATGAGGTTTTGCATGTAGTCCTCGTCGACGGCGGACGGCATTTCCTCGAACAGGTTGCGGGCGTCCGGGAGCCCGCCGGCCGGCGTCTGTCGCGCGCGTTTCCTCGTGCCGCCGGACGACTAGCCACCGACCACCGGGGTGGCATTGAGGTCGATGGGCGCGGGCGCAGGCATGGAAGGCACGACCACGCTCACGTCGGGTGAGCACTCCCCGGAGAGGCGGGAGGCCTGCGGGTAGACGTGGAAGCCGGGGACCGGGTTGCAAGCCGACGCGCGGGGTGAGTCGGGCAGCACCATCCGAGGAAATGCCGACGAGTCGGTGCTGGCCGCGGCGACGGCGGCTTGGAGGACGCTGTGCTGGCTAGGGTTTACCCCTAGCATGTAGAGCGCCTCCCTCGTTGCCGCCGCGACGCGGGCGTTGGTGAACTCCTGCTGCGCAGCGGCAACGGCGGCGGCCTGGCGGCGGCCTCAACCCTCGCGCCCGCGGCGTGCCTCCGGCCCTTCCTCTTGGCCGACTCCCTTGCCTGTTGTTCGGGCGGCAGCGCCTTCTTCGGCTTGGTCGCGACGGCGGTCTTGCACGGGGCACGAGGCTTGCCTTTCCCGGAGGGGGCGACGGCGCCGGACGAGGCGAGGGAGGCGAGGCCGGCGGCGGCGTCGAGGTCGATGGCGTCCTCCATGGCTGGTTGGGGGGCGGGGGCGGGGGCGCGCGCAGGTGGGAGTGTTTTTGGGGAAAATGGGGGGAAATGGTGGTGGGCCACCGACCGGCGGGCCTGGGAAGAGTAGGCGCGCGCGCGCGTCCGTCTCGTGTCCGCGCCGATGCAAATCCGGCTCAAAATTGGGCCAGGAATGGGTCGCCGCGGACGAAAAACAGACGCGCGTCCGTTTGGGTCGGCACGTTGGGCCGCCACTTTTGTCCGCGCCGACCCAAACGGACGCGGGCGGACGAAATGGGTCGCCCCATTGGAGTTGCTCTCATAGGGAGATAAGGGCAGTGTTAATCTTATCGATATCTGCAGCAGTAGCGGCGGCCATGACCAAACCGAATCTGGTACCAAGATGTTATGAACGTAGTAGATGATAGGTAGATGGCCCTGTACAGATGAGGCGTGACGCCCAGACTTGGGGAGGATAAGTGGGACTATTTTTCTGCTTGTCTATTGATTGATATTGATACACATTATACATTCCAGCTATGTTTGGAGGCTAAGACGAACTAACAAACTTTATTTAGTACATAATAAATAACTTGAGAACCAAGAAATTTCTCCAAGAGAATTAAACTGCTAAGGATAACCAGGGATACTTATCCCCTTAAATATCAGCCATGACCCCACATAACAACTCATGGAACTACAACACAAGGCACAAACTATTCTAAGGGTACATTTTTTCAAACTTAACTCTCAAGGCAAAGCTGCACCAGACACAAGCTTCGTTGTTTACATGATCCCAAATATAGGTGCAGAAAGAACTTACGTATCAGTGATGAAAAGGCTGACAAGCTTCGGTGGCACATAGTCAAACGTTGGATTGGCAACATTTAGAAGAGGAGTACCATCCTGAGTACTGAAGTTCATGCAATTTGAGAACTCGCCAAAGTCAAGCAAATCAGATGGTGATTTAAGCTCGTTCAGTAAAACCTCCGGGTTGTGCGGATACAAAGGACATAACTGTAAAGTAAAGAATATTAATGTATGAACATTATAACAGCAAACAACTACTTCTCTTTTAAGCATCTAAACTATGAACAAAAGGAATACTCATATATAGCTTGTAAGGCATAAAGCCTTCTACCGATGATTCAACTGATAGCTTTGCAGTCATATACTACTTGTTATTGTCATCTGCCAGAAGCCACAGGGTTATTACTCACCAGATCAAGCCTTAGTTAACAGGAGAACACAAAATCCAGTTGTCTAGTCTAGTTGACATGCTAAGAAAATCCTCCTCGATACATTAAACTAGAAAAAAGAAGAGCAAACATAATGAAATGCACCATACATTTTGAGATATAAGCACAACTTAGACAATAGAACCTGCCAGTATCAAAGTCGCATCCTGACAATTGAGATGACCAGAATATTTGCGGGGAAGAGTAAATGACCAAGTTCACAACACATTTTTGTATTGGAGCTAGTAAGATGCCCGTGCTACGCTACAGAACCAAAATACAATATGGAACATAGTTAACTCAGGTTATATTCACTCTGGTGCGTTCATTTACAAATTATAGACAATGGATAAAGGAACTACTATTACATGTGAGGCAAATTAGGACAAGGTCCATAGAGGCATAGACCGGACGAACCTTGGTAACCTTCACTCTCAAGATGTGATAAGCTTTGGCACGAAAAGGTTGACAAATTTGAATTTTAAACGAGGATGGAAAAGGAGTGAACGGACAACCACCAAATCAGATGTTTAGAAGTAGGAAATATTTGAGGCAGTGAAAATATTTGGTTGAGGCACAATTATAATGATATTTCAGTGGCATGGCAAACATAGTATCACACCGTAACTTATTTGTGCCTACATTTGCCTTTAATTTACTATGGTATATGAACACATAATTTTTATCAGAAACCAAACAACCACATGCGTACGTTGACCAAACACTATCCCTTCAGAAACATGAAAGCTTATATCGCCAACACTTGCCCTTTCCTCAATAATTTTCTGGTATTGGGGGAATTGGGCCCAAAAAAACAGCTCCAATAGCTCCCCTTTCCCAAAAAAACTATCGTGATCACCAAAAAAACAGTCCAACTCCCCCTATATATGGAGGGGGAGTTGGCTTTCTCCCAATACATGCGATGTCAATGCGCCGCCGCCCGCACGTCGCCACCGCAAGACCAACACGCTGCCGAGAGAGCGAGGGAGGGAGTGAGAGAGGTATCCGATCCGATTGACAAGAGGGTCCCATATGTCGGGTTGGTTATTGGGGCCGGGGTTATTGGAGATCTGCGAAAGCGTCTATCCCCAACAACCTAAAAGGTAAAAAGTGTTACTGGGGAGCCCCAATAAGTCGTTGGGGGGGGGGGGGTATGAAAATATTGCAATAAGTTGCAATATTTTGACATACCAAACATAGTATAGCACCGTGACTTATTTGTGCCCCCTTCGCTTACTAGTCTATGGACATTGGAACAGGTTGGTTTAAAACAGAAGAACACACAAAACTTTTATCAGAACCCAAACAACCATACGAGTATGTTGACCAAACACTATGCCTTCATAATGTGATTTTTTTAGTTGCTTAGGATGAAAACATTGCAATAAACACAAAAATTTAATGCATAACTTACAGAAACTGACCTTATGACTGCCAGCAACCACGACAAAGGGTACAGCATGCCTTTGAGCAGCAAGAGCAACCATATTCATACCTACTGGTGCAATGACTCCACCGTTTGCCATTATTGCATGGACTCCAACTATAACCTATAAGATAAATCATGAGTTACCTTGTAACAGAAACAAATATATCAAAAAAGCAATAATCAACCTGCGTACATACCATGTTAACTCGGGAGATCATAGCAAAAACTGCTGAATCTGTTATAACAGTAGTCTGTACACCTTTCTCGACCAGCTCCTTCGCAAGAACATGTCCCTGATATCTGATTCAAGCATTGAACAACAAGAATGAATCAAGCAAGGAGATTCAAAATACAAGAAATTAGTTGGGAATAGAATTGGCAAGGTGCACAAACCTTGGAGCACCTTCAGCAACAAATACACGAAAAGATCGCTTCTTCTCCTTTGCAGCATACAGGAACTCTTTCACGGTTCTAGAACGACCTAGAGTTAGGATGACCTCACTGTGGCAAACAAAAAGCATTGATTAGGCACAATTGGTATTTCAATCATGTGAACAGAATGTTTTGGATGGTCCTTAGCTGTTGAAAAAAGGGACTTTGAATCTATATTTTAGATTAATGAAGGCTGAGAAGCATTATGAGCTTAAGTTAACGCTACCAAAGTAAATAAGTCGATGCGAACTCTGGTAGATTAAAATTTATAACAACAAACATTTGTAAGAGAAGGTACTGTGAGCAGAATAAAAAAGCTTTTGTAAGAGAAGAAGGTACTGTAATCACCGAGGTAGTTAAGAGGATTTTTAATCATTTGACGTTGGGCACATGTTCTTCATAATACACATGCCAACCTTTTCCACAATCCCAGGTATATGCATAAGTTAAAAAATATTTTCCATCATTCAATAATTTCACAGGAAAAGATAGATGTGACTACTAATTAGTTTATGCTTGTATGTTGGACAAAAGATGATCATACTTTTGGTGGATATGTTCGACAGCTTGCTCAGAAATCTGGTCATAACATGTATCAATCTCCTCAATAAGATCACCAATGGCAGCAATAACATCATGTTTTAGTTTCCGAGTTTTTAAGCTCTTATCTCCAGCTGCTTACATGGAACATGCAGAAATTCAGTGTCAACAATAACATAAAAATTGGAATGTATAGACCCTGAAAGGGTACCATAAACTTGAGAGTATATCAATCAGTTAATAATTTCTTAAACACAAGATGATTAGTACAATATAAAGAGAAAAAAGGAACGTCTGTTCAGGTTGGCTATAAGTACATGATTCAAACATATGGCTATAAGTACATGATTCAAACATAAAAGTATAACTACAAATGCCTGTTCAGTGTGGTATACATAAAAAAAGAGAATTCTAGAGATCATGTATTTACTTTTCCCATCTGAATCCCCAGCTGACGATGAAGAATGTGAAAGTGCAGTGCTCACAGGAATATCATCCAGGAGAGTCTGCAATGAAGGTGCCCGAAGAGCGTTTCTAGCATGGGAAGCAAGAACAGCAGCGGATAAGGTAGGACGGTCATCATTTCCACTGTCACATTCATCGTCGCTGACAGCAGTCACAGAAAGACCTTCAATACCAACTGCGGTAAAAGATATATCTTCCTCTTTTATTATATGCAAAACACGTCTCACAGTGTTGCCGACAGCGAGCTCTGCAAAAAGAAGAGAGAGAATTTGTAAGGATAAAAGGCTGATAATTACCAACAACACATATTATTCACTATACTTTAGAGCTGAATAACAAGTGCCACCCTCTAGTCATGGTGCAATTTGCTATGACGAAACTGTACTTATTTCTGACATGCATGCACCACTCAGCAATTGTTGTGAAACTTGCTGATTGATATACAACTACAGTTCAAATGCTAACTGCCAAGACTAGTAGGTTCTACTGGTGGTGCTAGTGCCAACAACAACAAAAATCTCGAACACGCAGGAGCTCTGCGTATCTTTTTATTAGACAAGAAACGGAAGGGGGGTGCACTTGGTTCTTAGCGTACATATGTGCATAGGTGCTACACTCTGTTCATTCTAGTACAATGCAGGGTCTAGTCCTTAAGTTAGATTATGAAAAAGCTTTTGATAAAGTGAATATAGAATTCCTTGAAGAGCTCCTTAGAAACAGAGGCTTTGGGGAGAAATGGATCCACTGGATCCTGCAGATCACTAGAGGGGGGTCAGTAGGGGTCAAGTTGAACAATACTGAGAGTGATTTCTTCCTTACTGGCAAAGGTTTTGAGGCAGGGGGACCCCATTTCCCCCCTGTTATTTAACCTTGTAGTTGATGTACTCACTAGGATGCTAACATTGATTGAAGGCCTGCGCCCTGAGGTTTGTCCTGGAGGGATTATATGTCTTCAATATGCTGATGACACCATCCTATTCCTGGACAAGGACTTAGATCATTCTAGGAACCTGAAAATGGTTCTATCTTGCTTTGAGAACATCTCTGGCATGAGAATCAATTACAATAAGAGTGAGCTCATTCCTATTAATATGGAAAATGCTGAGGTAGGGGATTTCCTGGATACATTAGAGTGTGCTGAGGGGTCTTTCCCCATTAAATATCTGGGCATCCCTCTGCACTATGATAAACTTAGGAGAGAAGACATCCAACCACTAATTGACAAGATCATGAAAAGGATTGCTGGCTGGAGGGGGAAACTTCTTTCTTATAAAGGGAGAATAGTCCTCATCCAAGCCTGCCTGGCTAGCATCCCTATTTATTTGCTGTCTTTCTTTAAATTCCCTAAATGGGCAATAGATGTTATAAACACCCAAATGGCAAACTGCCTGTGGAATGACTCTGAAGGCCACAGGAAGTTGCAGTTAGCTAACTGGAAATTGGTCTGCATGAAAAAGGAATTTGGAGGCCTAGGCATTCCAAACCTGCAAGATATTAACCTTTGCCTTCTAGGGTCTTGGGTCAAAAGATATTATGAAGGGGAAGGGAAACCTTCGAGGAAGATGGTAGACCAAAAATATATGAGGGGCAAAACCAATCTCTTTGCTCCTAGCTCCTCCACTAGTGTCTCTAGGTTTTGGAAAGGAGTCAAATCCATCATCCAATCTTTGAAGTTTGGATACAGATGGAAGGTAGGAGTAGGAGATAAAATTAGATTCTGGGAGGACACTTGGTTTGGCACATCCCCACTAGCAGTCCAATTCTGGCACATCTACATGATTTGCAATGAGCAAAACAAGAGTGTCAGAGAGGTCTGGGATGGTGAAACCCTGAAGCTTACTTTTAGAAGGAACTTTGACGATAGGATGATGGAACAGTGGTATCAGCTGATGGAGAAAGCTAAAGACATTAACTTTAGCAATGACCCTGACTCTCTGATTTGGCAACTTGAAAACAAAGGGATCTATTCATCTAGCTCTCTGTACCATGTGATCAACTTTAGAGGCGTGCAGCCTCTGTTCCTACCTGCAGTGTGGAAACTGGCTGTGCCACCCAAGATACATGTTTTCCTTTGGTTGTTTTCCCAGAATAAGCTTATGACTAGGGATAACCTGAGGAAAAGACACATAATCAAACCTCTAGATTGTGTATTTTGTGCTGAGAATGAGACTAATCACCATCTGTTTCTTGACTGTGTTGTAGCCAAAAACATTTGGTCTTTTGTCAGTTGTTCTTTTACAAAAAACTGTGGGCGCGAACTTTGAATCAGTGGCCCGCTTCTGGATTTCTAACAAAAAACATGTAGCTTTGAATATAGTTAGCTCAGCTGTCCTGTGGTGCTTATGGCAATATAGGAACTCTATGATTTTCAATAACACCATTTGGACTTCTATTACTCAGGTTTGGGGACTGATCCACAGAATGATCAAATTCTGGGTGATTCTGACCCCAGAGGTGGACAAGGCCCTGATGGAGACTTTCTTGGAGGCGTTGAGGAAGCTGCTCCAACAACCTTTGATGATCCTGAGTGGCTGAATATGAAGGGCACACGGTTTGATGGCGGTGCAAGCTGGGGGAACCTCAAAATCTCAGAAGATGGAGGCTTCCACTCCCCAACCAAGAAAAGAGACACCAACGGCAAGGCGATGCTCAGCCAGGTGTCCACGCTCGCGATCTGCTGGTCTCCTCAGGCGGCTCTGGCGCCCCCGCTCAAGTTCAGAAACGGTGTTGGCGCGATCGTGATGTGAGCTGCAGCTGTCACGTTCCGGCGCGCGGTCGGAGATTCTGGACTCTTGTAGCCTGACATACCTTTTAGACCAGTTTTTATCTTCCTCTGCCTTTCTTCTAGTCTTGTTAGCCTTGCTGTCATGCCTGGTTTGTAATAAAAACTGAACCTCTCGAGAGAAGTAGCTGGTATGTAAGGGGACAACGCTGTATGGTTTCATTCTGAGTTAATGGAACCGGGGAGAGGCCTCCCTGTTCATCGAAAAAAAAAAACAGAAAAACAACCTAACCACTCAGAACAAGGGCTATCAATAGGGAAAGCCCTCCAGCTCCAGCCATACACCATCAAACTAATATTTGTCATGCTTGGGCAACACCATCAAAGACGCAGCAATTTCTTTGGTTCCAAAGAGTCCAAGCCCCAAGAGAGATGAGAGTTGAGGCCTTGCTGCATCCTGCCATTAGTTGCCTCGGTAGCTCTGCTCCACCAATTGTCAAAAGACCTAACTTCAAGTGAGGGTGAGAGAGCTTGAAGACCAAAACGCCTCAAGAGGCTGGACCAGAATTGTCTAGCAAAAACACAATCTGTGAGCAGGGAATCAATTATTTCAACCACCTGATCATAACAGGGGGAGCACTTAGGATGCGGCAAACCTCTATGTGCAAGACGGTCTGCGGTCCAACACCTTCTGTGCATCACTAATCAAAGGAAGAAACGATATTTTCCTGGCACCCGAGCTTTCCGAATGCACTCCCATGGTCTGAAGAGAACAGAGCCTTGGAAGAAACTTTCATAGGCTGAATGAGCGGAGTACTGACATGACGCAGAAAGGCGCCAACGATCCGTATCCTCCGATAAAAGATCCCAGAGGTCCAAGTATTCAAGAATAACATTTGACCGAGAGAGAACCCTGAATATCCCGGACCCAACCGGTGCCTGTTAGAGCCTTAGACTTACAGTACTGCATATATTTCACTAAGTGAAGTAGAGTGAAATAAGGAGGGGAATTCATTAACATGCCTTAACTGTTGGCTCTGGCCAAGGAAGAAGAAGACTCTCACGCACAAGGAAGAAGAACACGCAGAGACTTTGCAGAACTCACACACTGCGCATCTTCCTCCGGTTCTATCATCAACTGATTACAAGTGCCTTTTTAAAGGGACACACACACACACATACGTTTGGCACTTGTGCGGCATCTCCACAACGGCCACACGACGCAGCCAAAATAGCATGCACACAGCCAGCACTAACAAAATCCATGCAATCTAGTCAACCAACAGAGGCACTCACGGCACTTGCACTTCCAGGCCGCATCTTCACTGTGTGCACAGGGCTGCTCCTGGTTCACTAGAACACACACGTATACGAACTAACTCCAGGAGGGCATGCATGCTTGCACTCAACCATTGACCTGCAGATGTTCTCATGCCGCAGCCACCGCACATCTATGTGCTTCTCCAGCTGCTGATCCGCCCACGGCATGACGCAACACATGCAATTTACCTGAACCTGGCTAACACTAATTAATTTCTACCAATAATACTAACTCCAGGAGGGCATGCATGCTTGCACTCGACCATTGACTTGAAGATGTTCTCATGCCGCAGCCACCACACACTCTATCTATGTGCTTCTCCAGCTGCTGATCCGCCCGCGGCATGACGCAACACACACAATTTACCTGAACCTGGCTAACACTAATTAAACTCTACGAATAATACCATGCAATACAAATAAACCATGAAACTAGACCTATACAATAAGGTTAACTCCAACACCAACCTCTTTATACTTCATCAAGATGATCAGGTCAGATAAATGAAGCTCACATGTCAAGAAAAATTATTATCTCTTCCGACCTAAACCTGGAGGAAGCTGATAAAATGCTTCAGCTGAACTACGTGATATGGAAGAAGTAGTGAGATTTCGCTGCAATGATAGACCTAGAATCTATGCAGTTTGACTGGTATCTCTCGTACTGATACAAACTTCCAGAAAACTATCTGTAAAAAAAAAGCTTCTAGAAAGCTTGTTTTTATCTATCTTGACTGGCAGGTCATTATCTGCTAACACTTACTCCTTCCGTCCCATAATATAAGAGCGTTTTATATTATGGGATGTCATGTGGGGCACGGCCTACAGGCGTGGGCCACGCGGCCAGGAGCGACAGCCGCCGGCCGCAACAGGCGAGGCGTAGGCTGGGCAGGAGTCCTGGTCCTTATACATTAGTTCCTATAATAAAGGAGTAGTTTAGGCATAGGTTTCTAGTTTGTTAGCAGCCCATGGGGCCTTTATATACCGTATAACCAGCACCCTTTGAGGGCAAGCAATAAAGTTATTATCTCCTACCTCTTCCTCTACTCCTATCCTCTCCTCCCGCACCATTGAGCAGCCAGGCAAAAACCCTAGCGCTCCTATCCCCCGAGACTACGAACTACGTAGTCGAGGTCCTGCTGTCTTGGGCACCGAGGCCCTTGACAACTTGGTATCAGGTTCCAGGCGATCCTCTTTTGCGTCCG